TCAAGGTGAAATGTGCAGTCAATCACGCCTGGAAACAGCTAACATTTTATGCGGAAATTCTACAAACTGGCATTTTGTTACAATATGGATTTCATTTTCTTAGAAGACACAGCCTGGCTTCAACAGTCAGCAAGATTTTGAATTGACTCCTGCATTAAAAATTCTTGGGAGTATAAAAAAAATACATAGTTTTGTCCATCAATGCAAAAATCTTAGATATGCTTTTGAAAGAAGCCTTGCAAAAGTGAGTTTTACTGGAAGTAGCTGAACAGTGGCTTTTGCAACATTTTCCCCCTAAAGCTGATTCTACCTTCCCTTTAAGGTAACAACAACCACGTGCATGAAAAGGCAGCCAGTCTGATCTACACGTTTTAGCTTATTACTCCATTTACAGATCTATCAAAGTGGACACTCGTTAGAATCAACAAAGTTTTATGGAAGCATAACATATGCTTAGGAGCATTTATAGCCATGGTGCAAAACAGCTATTACTTGCACCAAACCCTACCAAGTTATTTTCTTTTGGGGTTCCAGCAATACTGCAGAAGACTGCAGCCTAGCTATTAGCATGCTTTTCACATCACTGAATTAAGATTAGACATTCAAGTTGTGTCATGTAAATGCCATCCATTTTCTCTTAAGAGAAGTTCTTTACAGCTGCATAGCCCAATAAAAAGCTTTTTTAAGACAGAAGACCAAAGCCATTTTATTTTTAATGCTTCTCCATGAACACAAAGATTAGTTTGACAGAACTTCAAGGAAGGAAAACTGGATAATTCAAGCACTTTTATATTCCAGCAACATTTTTTCCTCTGAAATTCATACTTGAAGGTCATAAGAAGTTTCACAGGGTTTTTTTGTTTCTTATTGTTAAACTATAGCAACCATGATTCATAAGCAGAAATACTGTTCTGAAGCATTATGCCGTAGGTGTATCTGGAACAGCATTCATTTCACAGGGATGATGATGTTAAGGAGTCCAGGAAATGCTGACACACTGCTGAAATTAAGGGCAGGCATGTTTCAGAGCAAAGTAAGGGATCAAGCGTCTCTCAAACAAGAGGTACATGATTCTCCACACTCCCCGCGCCAAAGCTACCTGCAATTTTCACAGTCATTGTACCTGCACATATGAATGAAAAGTAACCAAGAATGCCTGTTAAATTCTTGACATATGTCTACAATAAGCACCAACAACTGCAGCTTCTAGGGCAACCACAACCGCTCAAGTAGCGAGCCCCACACTTGAACCTGCAGAAGCCATCCAAATTGACTCTGAAGTTCTCGTCGGTCTCCGCGCAAGAGCTCTGCTTCAGCCCCGCTGGCGTCCAGGCATTTTCTGAAGTGTCTGAAGGCTATATAGGGAAGGGACGCACCAAAGACCAACCCCAAAAATGCTCACTCCTGATTTTAAGCCCTTTTCTGGGCACTCAAAGCAGAGAAGCACCTTTGTGACATCTTTTGCAATAAATTTGCATACATGCTGATTTACAGCAGGCTAGAAACGTATAATACTGATGAGAAAAAGCAGCTCCTGCTTTGGGATGGTTGAAGATCTCTATGCTGGCCCTAAATACAAATATAAATGTATTCTGAAAACTGAGGTAACTATAGATAACAAACTGCAAATCCTGGGAAAGAATGAAGATGTCACTAGTTAAATCTGTGTAAGTAGCACAGCACAGTTAAGAGCAGCTCTGAAGACCACAACGGTTGGTGCAAACAGCATGGCCATCAGGTCCTCAGCATTATGGTGATTTTTCTTTGGACTAACTCTAGCCTGGCTCCTAAATTAGGTATTAGTCGTCCAAGTTGCACACACTTAATATAACACTGAAAATCCTAAATCAAATCCTTAGTTCATTTCACATAAGATGCTCAAAACAAAGCTTGATCCATTTCAATGCAGCCTTGTTGTTGTTTGGGTTTTTTTTAAGTACCACAAACTATATTATCTCTTTCCTCTCCCCTGGCACAATCATTAATTGTTAATTATTCTAGATACAACAAACTTTTAAGGTACCAAAATAAGCCTTACTGGTCTGAAAAAGTGACTATGCATCTAGGGAGAACAGGGGAATTACAGACAGGTACAAGACAAAAATATTATTATATTTAATACTGTTATTAACAGTATTTTATCAGGGGTTATCTTATTTAACACACTTATTGTTAACTGCAACCTAAAGATCACTCCATCACCAACAGAAATTTCTCAGTATCTATCCTGTCCATCATTTTAAGTTTATCCCTGATCAACACGCAGAATTTGAGTTCTATATCAAACCCCCAGACTGGTCAGCATATACAATACAATGTTATTGACACAGCTAAAATAAAACAGAGTACAACGGAGTGTTTGGCAATGAGCTTGAAGAGGACAAATAGCTCTCAGTGTTGAAAATCACATTACTTCAATACTGGGTGTGCAAAAGCAAAAAATTGGAAGTGGGACTTACTTTCAGCATTTATAAACCCTGATTTCCCACTAAATTTTGTGTAATCTCCCCTTCCACATAGGACTTATAAGCATACTTCCATCTCATCTCACCAAAACATTTTGGTTCCCCCACCCCATCCCCAATGGCCATGAAACCGATCACTAGTGACACACAAATGAGTTTTGGCACAGGCATATTCATTTGGCTATAAAGAGCTTCCCCCCCACCTCCAGCCCCATAAAGACAAAACTAACACATTACTTCAAAACCCGATTAATTACAAACTATGAGACTGAAGCCATTATCTTCTACCAAACTAGGGATCTGCAATATTTCAAGGACAGTGCACACTGGGTAGTATTCGTTTCCAAATTAGAGTCAGGATGCCAGCAGAAACTTAGAGGACCCAAGAGATGTCATCTCTCTCTAATATATAACATAAGCGATCCTCTTATCTGCAGTATTTTGTTGGGATGCAAACCATAGCTCCAAGCCAAAATCTCGGCGAGTTCAGAATTTGTTGGGAGCTGGAATCATTTTCTCACAGATGGCTCTCAGAAGGAGCTGTAGTTCCCCACCCCTGGGCCAATTCTGTTCAAAAATGTGTTCACATGCCATTTCTGGCCTCCACACCAGACTGCTGACTTCTGTTCCACATCCGTCTATGCCTATGTAATCTCTTTGACATTCATCAGGCTGCTCGTGAGTGAGGATTATGGATGAAGGTAGGAACCATGTTTAAAAACACATCTGTGAACAGCAGGTCAGGAAATTGTATCTCAAAATACAAGAAAGATACGGTTGTGCTCACCACATCTTCTCAGCAACTCACTAATATTCCAGAAACTGGTAACCTACGGAATTCAATAAGCACTACTAATTAATTAAGGGTTAATCTGAAGGTCTGGAAGGGTAAGCCTTCTACTGGAAATTTCCACCAATATCTTGAAAAGTAGCGGCTGCGGTTACAGCTTCCTCTGAATCCTTTAACAAAACCAAAAATTTCCAAAAGGCATGATGTAACAGCAAGTTCCTTTGAGTCTCTTTGTTTCCTTTCACTACAGCCTCTCAGTTATAACCCTTTGGTCACAGCTCCCCAAAACTTTTACTCTGAAGATCCAGAGGACGGCGGGGATGATATTAGCAAACAGTAAAATGATCCTTTGCCCTGAGAATAGAAAAATGCTGCCCCTGCATGTTTCCCTCAAAAAACAGGATTTAAGAGAGAACTCTGACCTCCTGTCTTTAGTCAGTCCTTAACGATTTACTAAAATAAATTCAACTCTCCAAATTGCCCTAGTGGCCTTTTATAAGGCAGGTAGAGATCACATACTACAGGAAATTGCAATCAACAAGACAGCAGCAAACAATACTGCCATAAAAACGTCCCATACATTAATTTATAAAGCAGCAGTTTAAGATCACTCCTAAAGGTCAATTTACAAAGTCTTTTTGGGGGGTTGGTGTGCTTCTATTCTTTGGCCAAAAGCAGGAAGAATTGGTTGTCTGAAAGAAACTTAAACCTGCAAACCAAGTGCCTGGTATTCAAACAGACACATTCAAATGTATCTTCAAAAAAAAAAAAAAAAAGCAGTAAAGGCCTCAAATAACAGGAGGCAGTCTACTATATTCTCTTCCAAAACATAGCTAGAGCCTTCCCAAAATGGACCATGAATTATTATCAGCTGGATGTTGAACATTTAAAGAAGCTCCAGGCTAACAGATTCATTTCAGGCTCTCCAGTTTACAAAGAAGATGAATGGGAACTAGTCTTCAGACTAGGATTTTTTTTAACTACTGATACCTGTTCTTTTCAAGTGAAAAAAGGGCAGTCCTGTAGTTGGCCTAAAACCCAGTTCCCTTTTCCCTCCATACTTTTGGCAAGCAACTGAGGTGCATGTATTATTTCAAAGGTATTTAGGTGCCCAATTCCCAGAACAGTCTCTCAGTACTTGTGCATATCTAGGTAAGTGATTATAGCACTTTGGAAAAGGCAGATCACAGCTCCAGCTCAAGCCTGGAGAAGAGTTGCTACAGTAAGAGTTCTCTCTGCTACAAAATTTACACTGGGGGTTTAGCCACCTACGTAGCTTCACCCTTTGAGAGACCTTGGAAAGAGGGCTGAAAATGAGTGAGGACACTAAACAAGAAAACATGTAAACATAAACAAGTTAAAAAAAAAAAAAAGCTTAACTTAGATTTAAGAAGAGGTGGCTTATTTTTTCCCTAAGACTGAGATAGAGCACTGTTGTCCTCTAAACTCAGTTCCTTCCATGAGATTTGTATAACCAAGCTCCCCAGCTACTCTACAGCCACTTCAACGCAAGCAGTGTTAACGCTGGAAGAAGCCTTAGTGTAGGAAATCCTCTGGTGATTGCAGCATAT